TTATTAGCAAAAAATAAAAAATTATCTCAAATGTAGTTTGAAAAAATACAGAAAAATAGAAACCTTTTTACAATATTTGACAAAATTAGTATAAAAACGATTAGTATAAGAATAGCCGGATTTCAATATTATAAGTCTATTCTTTTTTTTAATAAAATCTTCTTTATTAAAAATTTTATTATAAATGAAATATATGTAATAAATTATTATAATTTTATTAAAAAATGTTTTCTAAAATGGGGAATTTTCATTTCTAAAATGAGTAATAAAATAAATACAAAAGATGATGACATTTTAAATCATTCCTTAGTTACATAAGACAAAGGTAAATTAGTTGAGTACTTATTTTTCACATTATATTGTGACTACAAACTGCATATATTATATATTATATACTATATTCAGCAGAGAAAATTGATAAGTGAGTGCTCAGTGATTCTTTAATATGATTGATTCTTATCTTTAGTTCTTCGCGGAATATATAAGTGTAGGAAACCAATTTCTTACATTAAAGAATCACTGAACTCTCACTGATCAGTTCTCTTTGCTGAAAGCAGCCATTCTCTTTTCCTATAAATTGTTGATTTTTTATCGTAAAATTCAAAATAATTTTAAAAGCAAACGTAATAGATCAATTTGACTTATAGCATCGTTTTTGTGGCCGAAACTCTATAAGAAATATCTATTTTGATTAAAAATTTCTTCTAAATTTTTGGTTTGATTATTATTTGAAACAATTTTTTTATGATCTTATTTATATAAATATAAATATTTATATATAGAATCGGACTCTCAATCTTTAAAATAAAAATAAACAATAAAACTAATGGAAGTCGCAGAAGGATGTACGCAATAATTATTAAAATTATTATTGTAAACGAGCAGAAGATGATGAGAACAATTTTTTAGTTTTAAATGAAACCACATTCTTCAGAAGGATCGTTTTGTATTTGTATGTAGGTATCCTGGCTGCGGCGACAGGAGAGTAGTGAGAAGATGAGATTGCTGACGGTGGGTCAGCAGACATATACGGGTGATTCGAGATATACCATCGAATTTCAGTACCCGGACAACTGGCGTCTGCGAATCAAGCGTGTTAACAGCAGCGACGAGGGCCAATACGAGTGTCAAATCAGCACCCATCCACCAAAGTTCATTTATGTCAACCTACACATTAACGGTAAGTGATAACGTGTGCTAACGATCTTCTGTCTACCATCAATTTCGAGACAACAATGTTGATAACGATGACAATTATGCTTCATCAAATCGTAGCTTCGCGAAAAGAAGATTTCCGCATGCTTCTGATTCATACGTTCGCTGTGAGTAAATTAAAAAAATTTAGATAAATTTACACTCTTTCTATTCACGCCAGATTTAAATTCCTTATAAAATGCTATAGACTTTTCTGAATGAATTCTTTTTGAGCAATTTGACGCAATTGTTTTATCTTCTTAAAAGAAGCGGAGCAAAGAACGAAAACTTCTCTAATATTTGCTCTCTCTCTCTTCACATGTCTCTTTTTTTCTATTTAACACCTTTTTGTTTCGCCCGTCTGTGTCTGAGACGAATTTAATGTAGCGTGACGAACAGAGGAAAAATATAAAAGAGATTTTAAAGTTGGAATAATTTTAACGCAAGTTTTATTTCGTCTTGCGAACCAAAAGCTTGATGAAATATAGACTATGTATTTTACAACAAAATTATTAAAAATATTTTAAAACAAAATAGATTAAAGTTTTTATACGCATATATGCTTTAACAATTAAATAAAAATAGATAAGCTAAATGCAAGAATTGAAACAACATAGACTAATTATAGTAAGGTAAGAAAAACCTTTTTCTTGAGCCGTTCCTTTCTTCAGTGCCACTTTCGTGCTCATTTAAATTAGCAAGAGAGCAAAGAAGAAAGAGACGCTATATCTCCGGTAATACCTACCTACGATTCAATATTCTAACGACAGAAAGTAGACAAGAAGAAGAGAAACTCAAATTCCGCAATTCTACTAGCGATCGGACAAATTGCCTCCGTCTGCAATGTTCTTGCGGCGAAGATCGCTTAAAAGGATAATTGAAAACGAAGTACCTTATAGTTGAGATAGACGGGGACAGGAAAGAGAAAATCCACGGTCTGTTCGGTTCAGAAAGATGGCGCGGTGCAAAGCGGAAGAACTTCATCTCTGGTAATCGAGGTGTGTCGACTAATTCGGCGAAATGATGGTACGTAAAGGTGAAGTGGCAGTTATGTAGACCTAGAGGAATGGACAATGGAAAATTGCAAACTACAAGAAGATTTTAATAAATGTGAGGAGAGAAATTGCATAATTTTAAAGGGGCTAAGAACAATAAAGGCACACTGTAAAAATACACAGCCAGCATCACGAAATAAAAGTAAAGATAGATGAATGGATACATTTATTAAAAAGCAAAATCAATAACTCGAGGAAATACAAAAATATTCCATACGAATTTATACGATATACGCGATGTTAAAGTAAATAATTAATATGATCATTTAAAAAAATATCTTTCATGAAAAGAATGATTTCGCCGAAATTAAAATTTAAACTTGATGAAGTTACAAATAATTTTATTAAATCATTAAAATAATTATGTAGACAAGTTTTTGATATTCAGTTCAAAAAGATTTGATATTCTAATTATTAATTTGAGCGTCCTACATAATTATTCTACAATCTAAACAATTATTTTTTAATTTCTATTTAGCTGTATTTTCAAATATTTTAACAAAACCGTTCTCCTCATATACGAGAGATGTTTTAAAATAATCGCACCAACTGTTTATTTTGACATCGTCAAATTCATTAAATTATAACAGTAAAATATTTTGTATTTCTTTCGCGATTTCGCGATTTTTTTAATAAATATCTCATCCACCCATTTCTTTATTCTTATTATTATGATCATATATAAAATATATCTCAAATTTGAAGCTACAGTAATATGCACAAAGAAATAAAAAAGTTATAATAAATTTTAATAAGTAAAGACGCGATATTGTATTTGACTTAGCTTTCGTTAAATCGTACAGAATTGCAGGGTTACAATAAAAAAAGCAAAAGTTTGTTTTTTTTATTTATTTCCTGGTTCGCGCGCCTTTGCTGATGTGAGATTATATTGTAAGCTTTCGCTTCTACGAGATAAAACGACGTAGCTTCTTCATGTTATCGCCGAGAATCTCCTAACGCGAGTTCAAAGGGATTATCTACTTAAAGTCTCTCGCACTTATCCTCTAGAATTTCTCCATTTTCGTAATTTGTCGAAATAATGTCTGTCGTGTGCGCGACGATCATCGATTGCCTTGAAATATCGCTACTTTATAAATAATCTTTTGCGAATAATTATTTTATATTTACATCTCGATGGTGACACGGAGATGTTAGCCATTTATTTCGCCCTTCCTGTTATCGAGATTTCACTCGATATTCGTACAATTAAAATTTAATCGTTTCACACTGTTGATACCTTTGTGCGTGAGCTTTCATGAGGTCGTTTGTAACGCGGTCCGAAACGTCAAATGCCATTGAAAGAACGATATATCGTCGAATTGCGCATTCTCATTGTTCCCAGCAACCTATTCTCTTTCTATATCTGTTCAACTTTGAAAGTCAAATTACGGTAAACACAATTGTCCATTGTGCGAATCTTGCAATCGCGTTTTATCGATGGATCGCGCCGTACGATAATTAACGCAAGAGATATGAATGCACCCTGCCTGACTATTGTCGCATGTTCCAATCAATTATCAATTATCTATTTTTTTAACAGAATGGATTTATGTTTGCGTAATAAATATATACATATAACAATCGCAAATTAATTAATCTCTAGAGTTTAGTTTATAATTATTTATTAGAAATTCATAATTATTTACAATTTATATGGTATAATATGTAAATGCCGAAAAGTACTATTATCAATATAATAATTTGACATGAAAATTATTTTATCGTGTCCAAGATATAATCAGTAGCGTATAATCACAAATCATCACACAAAGAAACATAAAACAGATACATAAAACGAGTAAACTCACAATTTTGCACGAAAAAGTTTCGTTGAAATATTTAAAAATTTAACTAGATACAAATTTGAAATAATTTTATTGATGAACTATTAAAATAATTACACAAAATGCTCATACTAATTGCCAAAGTTAATCTTCTATAACTTTCAGGTTCGTATAACTTTCAAGTTACATACTAATATATCGATATTTTATTAATTTATTTAATTTTTGACCACAAGATGACATAATTTTTTTATAGGACATACTGAGAAAAATGATTTGGTTGAATTAAATAATAATTTTAGAAAATGGACGAATCAGAATTTTCTGCTTAAATCTACTTGAATTCTAGTTGAGATAACTAGAATTCTGATTGATACAATTATTCTAATAAAAATAAGAATTCTAGTAGATTTTACCAGAAATATTATATATCAACTAGAATTCCGGTTATCTTAATTAGAATTCTAATAAATTTAACCAGAAAATTCTGTGATTCATCTATTTTCAACTAGAAATTTTTTCATAAAAAAAATTCGTCCTATAGAAATTTAGAAATTTTTTTTAGCATTGCTCATTGTATTTGAGATTTTTGTTATTCTAATAGTTCAATAAAATTATTTTTTCAAATCTATCTAAGTAATCTAAATTTTTTTAATATTTCAGCAAATGTTTTCATTTTGTAAATAATAGCTGCGTTCAGCAGACAAGCAGCTCAATGAATCCTCAATGATTCTTTATTATAATTGATTTCTATTACTTAGCGAAATACTAATGACAAGAAATCATATTTATTAAAAAATTTCTGAACGCTTATTGATCTTCTTTATCAACTGAACATAGCTAATAACTGCGTTCAACAGAGAAAATACCTTTGCAACTGTTGTAAAACTCTTTAATGTGCTTGATCTCGCTTTTAGTTCCTGGATCTAAATGTGAACCAATTATATAAAAGAATTTTATAACAGTTGCAGAGATATTTTCTCTGCTGAATGCAACCATTGTCGCTATATTATATTTGAGGAACGTTAGAACTGTCGTTGTGCCCATGCCGGTTTATGGGCGCACGTAAAAAGAAGGATCAACACTTAATCCGTGAGAGAACTGAGATTCTGCAAGATAAAGTAACCGAGATTTTGGTATGCAGTACTACTCTCTCGACCTCTATCCATCGTCCGTCTCTTCTGTACGCCTACCGTCGATCTCTCTTTCTCTGTCTCCACCTCTTTATAACGCGTACTCTTTGTGCGATATTAATAAAAGAAGATGTTACGATGTTAACAAAAGAGCGTACAAGTTTTACGAATGCGATACAATCTCTAATCTGCTTTTCGACTCTTGAAATATTCAAGAATAGAATGAATGTGTTTTAAATTCAAATGTAACAGTGAGAAAGCTCTTTGTTCTTTGCTAAAGTTTTATCCTCCGCACATTTTTCCCAATGAAATACAAAAATTCTAGCGTTTTATTGAAAATAATTCTTATTTGTTTTATAAATTTTATTCATTATAGTAATTTGAAATTAAACTCATCATTATATAATGTTAATAACATGTATCTCTATAATATTATATACAAATAAATATCCGCACAAAGTATTTAAAAAACTACTAATATCTGCTCGGATTCTATTATTTATATTAATTGCGAATACATACGATATCTCGAAATTTGCAACGTTAACGTAAAATTATTGGATAAAGAGAGAAGAAAAGGGGAATAAGTGAAAAACATATTTCCAGATGGAGACACGATAGTGGAATGAGGAAAATTTTGTATAGTGTTGCAAAAAAGTATGCAAAATAAAATGCGGCATACCTCAGATGGGGAACGTAAAAAGAGAAAGCCGGGCGAAAGAGAAAAGGGAGAGCGCGGGAGAGATTACATTTCGCGCGGTATTCATGAGGTCGAGTACCAGGTCGGCGCGAGAGAACATTCTGATCTATCTCCAAAACGTTTCCCTTTTTCGTGATTTCTTTCAGTAGCCCTCCATTACTTAGTTTTTTATGGTCACGATATAGTCTACATAAAAAGAGAAATCAATTGAAAATGAGTCTAGCCGAACGGAAGACGGTGACGGAGATACGCGAATAAATTAGTTTGCTCCATTGGTTTGATACTTGATCATGTGGACAGCCCAATGACGTCAATATGAGAGATATTTATTGGGCCATAAAGTTAAATATTTGAAGCCGAATTCGATGTAATCCAATATCACGCTCATGTGTACGGTCAAATTTCATGACGCACAAATTGTCACGGCGAACTCGACAAACTCGACAAATAGTGCTGATTGCGTTAGAATAAGGATCTTTCAAGTGACAGCTGTAAGACGGAATTACCGTTTGCGATAGCGAACAAAAATATGCCGCGATAAATAAAAAGTGTATTAAGGTTTTTATTTGGTTTTTATTTCTGCACTAGAATTTGCACTGGCATTAAAATTTTTCTTTCTCTTGTCAAATTTTCTTTCTTCTGTCAAATCTTAAAATATCAAACCTTATCCTTTTTCACTTTAAGTTCCAAAAATATATACTATTCAGTTATAAAAAGCAGATCTTTATATACTCCAATTTCGAATTTCCGGTTATCCTCACTTGTTGATTTGTCAATGCTAAATAATAATAGAAGTCCAAGAAATTGCAAAAATATATATATATACATATAAATAACAGAGTAGATTATATGAGTCTGAGCGAAATAAAAGATAATGTAGACAGTATCATGATAAATCAGAAAAAAAATCGGATATCAGAAGTTAATAGATCGAAATATTATGTTTCAAATAAAAGACAGCTTTTCAACAAAAGTGTAGCAGTATGCTCCGTAATATATCATGTACAAAACTTTCGTACGAGCTGCGAATACTTCGATATTTAAACTAAGTACCTCTACTTTAAATATGGGGACTCGAAAACTTCTTGTAAGAGGATAGAAACTTTAAGTCGACGATGTGCTTGGAAAGCTCTGAATTGGTTGCGACGTTCCCAATCTTTTTCGCATTGACCAGAATTATGACTTCGTTGAGCGTAGTCGAATGTTTGTCGGATGCGAAAAGTTAATGCACTTTTGGAAAGTATATTAGTTTCACTTTCTTTCTGGATGATAAAAGATGTTATTAAATAAGAATTATCCATTTGAGTCCTTAACATTGCTGATCAAAGAATAATACCTAATAAATTTTACTTTTTGAATTTTTCAGCGCCGTCCGTCCAAATAGTGGACGCCCTAGGCGAACCACTGCGGGACAAATATTATGAAGCTGATAGCACCATCGAATTATTGTGCGTCGTACGTCATATAGCGATGCAGGTGCAATACAGCGTCGTCCAGTGGCTCCACGGCAATAGAGTGCTAAATTACGATACGACGAGAGGCGGTATCAGGTAATCCGAATCTTTAAATATTGTATTCTTTTCTTGCCACTTAGCCAAGAAAAATGAAGACAATCTTATTTAATCTGTCCTTTAGCCAGCTTTTATATTTTTAATGCTGCTATCATCCTTCATCCGTTTTTTATTTAACACATTAAAGCTGTATTGTGGCGCTATAATATAATATACACTTTATACAAAACACATACACATACACAATAAATGTATTAAAATAGTGTATCAGTCAATATTATATGTTATCATATATTATAAGATCAAACGTAAAAATACTGAAAAAAGTCTAATAATAATCGGGCCTATATAGATGATAATTAATGAGGCTTTGAAATATAATCTCAATAAAATGTTCAATTAATATAGATCATTTACTAAACCAATTAATATCATTTTACTTTTCTAAACATTATCTTATCCTTCTAATTATTATCAAATAGTTGATTACTATTATTACATTTGGCAATATTTATTAAACATTGCATGCATATGTTAAACAAAATATATTTAATAGCTATTATTATTAGCTTCGATCATATACACATGTGACTGTTAATATCCCCCACTTTTTCATATATGTATACAATGCTTTTGAAATGAAATGAATCTATTTATGTTACCTAAAATGTGAAAATAAGACTGAAACTACAATACATTTGTTTTCAACTTAAGTTAGGCTTTATGAATTCAAATCATCATTTAGTAAAATGTTATACTGCATATTTTTGATGTTTTAGATATTTATAAATACTTTTTTATATATATTGTAATTACGTTCCAGTATTTTTTAAGTGACTTAACCAAATCACATACGTACGCGACATAAGTAACCGGTAGGTAACTCATGATATTTTTGTTTGTATATATTTATATTTGTTAAATAATATCTATTTCAGAATTAAAAAATTATAAAAATTATTATAAAGGAAAAGGCCTAATGTACACATCGTATATCATAATTATGTATTTAAGTATGATATAGAATTAATTATTTTTTAATTACATTTCTTTTTTAATTATTTTTTAATTACGTTTGTCAAAATATCAAACGACCTATTGAACGAAAAGTTCAACATCATTAGCAACATCATTAGCATCATAAGGCACGGAATAATATTATTTCTATTGATTTATTTATTTAAATAATGATGACGCAACTCATCAGATTAAATATGAAATTGACATTAGCAGTCCATATGTACACACACAGAAAAATATTCTATTGCTAAGAAAAGTTACTCAATTTACTTTCTTCCTCTCAAATAACGGTTATTATTTTAACAAAGAATATTTTTTTGAGAATAATTTTAAAATATACTTATTACAAATTTTAGAAAAACTTATTGTTATGTACTTAAAAGAAGAATTTATCTTTTGAAGAATATAAAATTGATCAAAGAAGCCACTTCTATAGTTAATACTTCTATACTTAATAAGCAAATCGAATTCGTTTTAATTTAACAAAATCTTTATTGAAATATTAAACTTACTAAAATTTAGAATATATTTTGAATAAATTTGATGCTTGTGATGAATTTATAACAGATTTGCGGATATATGAACTTTTGAAATACTTGAAACAAGTAATTATTACTTGCGTACAATGTGTATATGATCGAAGACTACCAGATTTGTTTTTCAGTAAATCTAAAGCGACTACACGGATATTTTTAAATTGTAATAATATGATACAACTATACGCTAAGCCAGAGAATTGCTTGGGTGCGAAGAGGTCTTTAAGCTTAATAGCTCTATTATTCAAAATTTGCTCGCGCGAAGTCGTTCTCGCTTGGAATGCTTCTCGACAAATATGAGAAATGCATAATCTAAATGTCAGATAAACTTGACGCGGTTATGCGAGCAAAGTGTAATTAATTCACGAAACTTTTCCTTGTTTGACGGGCATTTACGCGCGGTTGAAAGACCGTGTCAACTTCCTGTGGAAGCGACCGGGAAAAGTCAAATCTAGATCGCGCATGTACATAATTCTCACTCTTTGTAAGTACGTTCCGTCGGAGCGTTAAAAAATATGACTCGTTCTTCCTCCTCGTCTCTCTTTGGGATTATGTATTATTATAGATTCTCTGCAACTCGGCTGGAACAGTATAATTTCAAAGAACCGATTCTGGAGCATAAGAATTCATTATCCGTGATCCGTATAATAGAAGAGAGATTCGCCGGCTCGTTCAACTGTCGCGCTGAATAAAACTCAGGCGGAAATAAGAAAAAGGCAAGAGCGACGCGCTGTCGTATTAAGCTTCGTTAATATATAGTTCGTTTCACACCGTTCAATAATATATGAGATATGGGACATAAAACATTCCATTATGCAACGTGTTCCGGTCGTTTTACGCGCTTCATTCAAGTCGAGTTCAAAAATTTCATGAAAATCGAAAAACATCGCAAAATTTTATCCCATTTATACATTGTCGCATATTCGCGTTTTTCTTGTCTCGTCCAGTGTCACTTTGTTAAGTATGATAAATGATGCAATTTATCATGTTGAATATATGCTCACAGCTGCAATCCCAAAAAAACGAAATGAAATGAAAATTTGACAATTCACGAGAGATGTGAATTTATAATAATGTACTTACACGTTTTTGACAACTTGTTTATGTTACTGTTAAACAATTTTTGTAATTCTCTTTTATAACAACGAAAGAATAGAGAAAGATATCAAGATTTATTATTATGTGAAAAAAAGTTATAGTTTTTTTTTATTTTATATATTTAAATTGCCGGTTTAAAAGGATTATAAAAGGAACCATAAAAACCCTTTTTTCTTTTATATGCGTATGTATATAAAAATTATATTTCAAATATTTTAAAATAAACTCTCTTTCATAAGCTCTCTCTCTAGAAAAAACTGCATACTAATATTGGACATTCGCACTTTTTATGAGAATTTCACAGAAGCTTCCTGGGAAATTTATATTCGTATATCTGACATCACAGATGTGTCATCGCTTTCAATGCGCCTTTTTGCTCGTGATTTCTCGGGCCAGGATACAAGAACATCCCCGAAGGACCCGAAAATACGTGCCGGTAGAGTGCTCATACGGAGTACATGGTGGGTTGATGATAGCAGCCGCGAGAGTTAGAATGGCAACGTGTCGACGAGAAAGGTTTCGGTGTTCGAGGGACCGGTTCTTGGTCGAAACCAACGTTTCCGTGGGCCCATCCTGACAGTAAAGTTAGGTGCCGGTGAGACACGGCGGGACAGTAAATGAAATTAGTTTGCGTTGCGCGCTTCTGTACATACGACTATACATACACGAGGTCGTGGATCCTGTTGCGAGAATAACGTCCCTCTGCGATCTGCCCGGCAACTATGCTGCCGACGCTAAATATTTTGCCGTCTGCAACACATTAAAATACTAATTAACGCCTTTCTATTCTATAAGAAATAGTGAAAATAAAATTTCTAAACGAGAGAGAGAATTAAAATCTTTCGTTTATTGTATCTCTCGAATTGATTTCTGTCATTCCTATTGGCTTTATATTTTCTCCATTTTCTCTTTTACGTTTTTTTTTTTTTAATATTTCAATATTTTGATGCTCGTATGAGCCACATTTGAATACATCCCAGACGATCGTGCTTAAATATTATTTTTTCCCTCTTTCTCTCTTGTTCGCTTTCACGCGAAATTCTCTGTGAACCACAACCGTAAACACGCTACATATAAAGCTACAGTACCATCGCATTCGTTTCCCCAATATAGTAGCATCTGCAATGGTGGACGAGCAAGAATTATTGCTATCTGGCTTAATTTAATCTTTCATTTAATTAATCACCTGACGTCTATCCGACTTTCTCTATCCCCTATAATTTAACGCGTCACTGATGGTCTCACACTTTTAGATATTGTCGACTCCGATCAACGTTGCAGTGTCCTGGTAGAAATTTTTATTAAAAATTTTTGTTTAACATAAATTAATTTATCTTTCACAATAAAAAAATAAATTATTTTATTTTAAATTTAATGAAAGCAAAGACTCCACAAATTTAAAATAATAAAAAGTAATAAATAATATGAGAGTCAATACAGTTAATAATGCGATTATCATATATTTATTTATTCCATAAATCTTGATGTAATTTCGATGAGCGCAACTATAATATAATAGAATTTTTTTTGTTTCGACTCCTCTTTGAGTCATCTTCAGAATTAATTATCTATTGTTAGATGGTTAGATCACAAATTCTTGTTCCGTAATCAAATATTTTCATGTAATGTATGGGTTTCCCAACAGTTGACAAACTATTGTAATCACAACATAAACGCCACAATCCATTACACAATTAAAATTACATAGATAACAAAAATTGTTTCGTAGCAGACAGTTAGCATACTGATAAAATAAAGATAAATTTAGAGAATGTACGTAAAGTATATGTCTTGATACAAAGTTTTTTAAGTAAAATTTATATTACATTTAAAAACATTACGGAATAAGAATTTGTAATCTAACAATGGATAATTAATTTTGACTCAAAGAGGAGTCGAAATATCAACATTCTATTATATTATGGTTGCGAAATTATATCAAGATTTATAGAATGAACTAAATAAATATAAGATAATTGCACTATTAACTGTGTTGACTTCCACAACTTTTCTTATTTTTTATTATTTTATTTTATTCTCTTAACATTATGTAAATATAGAATCTTTTTTTTAATTACATCTATGTTTTTGGAATTATTGAAATTTATATACAATTGCGATATTATATAACTTGTCAAACTAGTATCGAACATTTTACGGAAATGGAGCATTGAAAATTTCTCACCAATATCTTCTTAACTGAAATGCATGCATGTATACATTTTTGGACGTTGATAAAGTAGCGATATAACAATGATTCAAATTAATCGTTAATCGAATTATTTGCGGACGGTATCCAGGCTGAAGGTAACGTGACAATGAATTTATAGCGCTTAACATCACGTTTAATTCATTAAATTACAGTAGGACCCTTGACGGCGTAAC